CAAGTCTTATTCTGGGATCATGTTCTACGAATACGCCCCAAAGATCTCAGATACACTTTCACAAGAAGTTGTGTACAGTGCTTAAAAATATGACTTATGGAAATGAAATCACAAAGTGCAATCAAATGCTAATTGCATTATAGTAGTATGTTTTCCCAGTGTAAAACGTAAAATAAAATTTCATGAAAAAATGTTAATTTAATCGCAAATTCAGTAATTACTGCTCCGCAACCCTAAGACGATTTAGTCGACCCTTGTTTTCTTTCTTGCCAAGCACGAGGTTGCCGCTAGATCCAGAAACGTTTAGCTCGCGCCCATGGGGAGCTTTGTATCACGGAACTTCGAGTCACCGACCTGGTTTCTGAATGGGATCTTGCCTCTGTGACACAAATCTGCATGACATGAAGCTTCCTACTGTCAAATTATATTATATTATATATATATATATACTTGTTTAGGCTTGGTAGGTGTGCTACATTGCTGGATCCTACGGTATAGGGGACAACCCCCACTTCTTGTATCTCTTTTTCTTCTAGTCCAACACTCTTTCCTCTCGTAACTTCTCCCTGGCTAAAACCTCTCGCCCTCTCATGGCTTCCTAGCCTAGCTTCTAACTCATCTCAACATGGTTTCAGAGCGGGCCCTTCCGCTCGGGCCTTCTACTCACGCTTCCGTAGCGTACTCTCCTCCCTCCTGTCACTTCCGCGCCGCCATGGCAGCCATTTCGTGCTGCCATGGCGGCTTCGTCGTGCTGCCATGGCAGCCTCGACGCACTGCCGTGGCGTCGACGCAACGCTGTGGCGGTGTCGTCGTGCTGCCGTGGCAGCGTCGACGTGCTGCCGTGGCATCGACGCCGCGCTGTGGTGGCGTCATCGTTCTGCCGTGGCGTCGTCGACGCGTCGTTGCATGGGTGGCAGCAGGCCACGCAATGTTTCAGGTGCCAGCCGTACGCCTGCACGATAGCCAGCGCGCCAACTAGGGCACCTCGCTGAAGCCACGCCCCTCCCCCACCCCCGCGCCACCCCTCATTCCAGCTGCAGCTGATGATTCTCTTCCCGGTCGTCGCAGGGTCGTGCCACATCGCCGGGTGCCGCTAGCATAGCAGTCACCGCCGCCGCCGATGCAGGTGCAGCCGGCGCCACCCGCTCTGCCGCCACCGCTGTCGTCGTCGTTCCGCCGCAGACGCCTTTGCTGCCACCTGCCGGGGGTGTCACCGCTTCGCACGAGGGGTAGACGCCACAGGTGCTGAAGGGCATGGGGGTGCACGGGTTTGGGGGTGTTGCATGTGGGGTGTGTCAAATTATATATTATGTATATATATATATATATATATTTGTTCAGGCTTGGTAGGTGTGCTACATTGCTGGATCCTACTGTCGAGGGGATTGTTAGAATACTAGAATAGCTACACCTATCTTGCCTATAACTTTTATTTAACAACATATGTATAAGTTGACAAGGACAACCCCCCCTTCTTATAGGGTATCTCTTTCTCTTCTACTCCAACACTCTTTCCTCTCGTAACTTCTCCCTAGCTAAAACCTCTCGACCTCTCATGGCTTCCTAGCCTAGCTCCTAACTCATCCTACAGGTGCAGCCTTGAAGTGCGCTAGCGGCGCATTCCTAAAAATGTCACTGTATGCTGCTTGAATGTAATTTGTTCCTAAACATTTAATGATGTGTGCAATAAACAGTTTGCGACTAGGCAGTTACCGACAAGAGGGAAAAAAAATACTTCATCAAGAGCAACAGGATGAGGACTTTCAACTCACGAACTCCCTCCTCCCGACTTCCTCAACCCTCTAACTCAATCAACCTCCCGAGTCTTTCCCTTTTTAAGTCCATCTTCGTCCTCCATTCTTGAGTCTTCAATTGTGCTTGTGACTTCCGGCACGCACTTGGCTGGCTAATCAGTGCACCTATCTCTCATGTTTCTCCTTTCCACCCTCTCCCATCTATTCCCGCTATACCGCACGTCCCGGTACCGCCACCAGTCCCCTCCCTTCCTCTCCTCCCGGCTATCCCACCGATTCCGCTTTTCCCGCACACAACCTCCCATCCATGCTACAGGGACGGAAAGTATTGTCCGCATGTTTGTGACTTAGACGAATTTTGGAATATTAAGGGGTCATGCACATTAAGCCTTAATCTTTTGGTGTGCCCTGTGTATGTAGGTTGGGGTAAGGCTCTAGGCCCATGCCTTACATCTGACGAAGATATTGATGTTTACCGCAAAAAGCAGAAATTAACAATCATGGTACATCCGGACAATTTTTGCCAGGTGCAAGCAGCAAGTTTCAACAACCCCAAACTAGTACCTAGTCCACCGCCCTTTCGCCTTAATCACCGCCCTCACCCTCCTTGGCATGCTTTCCACCAGGTGGGTGCACACATCCGCCGGGATCTTCTCCCATTCCTCCTGGACATGCTCCCAAAGGTCCAGCATACCTGTGGGAGGCTTCTCGTGCTTGGCCAGCTCCCTCTTGAGATGAGCTCATAGATGCTCTATTGGGTTGAGGTCGGGTGAGGATGATGGCCACTCTAGCACCCCAAACTCCTGCTCTCGAAGCCACTCCTGCACGATACGCGACTTGTGCTTCGTGGAAGATGACTTCCGAGGGTGAAAGCTGAGCTCGTCCTGCAATATACTCAGATACAGCGGTCCGTCCATCCTACCATCTATTTTGCGCATGAAACCCGCTCAATCATACGACATGCAGCCCCAAATCATCAAGCAGCAGCCCCCGTGTTTGACGGTCTGCTTGATTTGGTGGCTTTGGAGGGCAGTGCCTTCGCGAACCCAGACATATGAGCGTCCGTCGGAAGCAAATCGATTGATCTTGGTCTCATCCGACCAGATCACTCGCTTCTAATCGTCAACCGTCCAGTTGGCGTGGGCACGGGCCCATTCTAGCCTATCGCGTATGTTTTTTTGAGAGAGTCGCGGCTTCTTGGTCTGCTGGATTGCGACAAGTCCGCTGCCATTCAAAGCGTTACGCACCGACCTAGGATGCAGCGTGATGCCGTGCTGCATCTCGACAATCTTCGCCACGTGAGCAGAGGTTTTTGCCTCCCCGCTGGTAATCGACCAAACTATGCCGCGGCGAACTCTCTCTGTCACTAAGCGAGGGCGACCGGCTAAGGGCATCGTAGGATGCGCGTCATCGCGGCTAGACTCTGCAATCGCCTTGAGACCATAATCATGGACCGTACTCTTCCCCACGCCTACCTGTTTAGCGATTCGACGAGTGCTATACCCCCTCCGCAACATGTTAATGATCCGTGCGCGGCGCGCCTCATCTAACGGTTTCATGATGGCCTAATCGTAGCAGCGGTCCTAGCCTATCTCTTGACAACTCGAAAGTCGCGAGGGCAAGTAAGTAGAAAAATGGAGGTTAGGATATAGATCTAGTACGCCGCTTGGCAGGAACTGTCCGGATGCACCCACGCAAACCAAAGCTCGTCCCCGGTAAAAAATCGACCCCTATAAAACTGAGACCCATAGCCGTTAGATATACTACAGTACTACTTTACAGCCACGGCCGAAATATGAGTCGTAACTATACAAAAAAGGCACCAAAACAGTACGAGAATATTTTTAAGGCAATTATCCGGGCAATACTTTCCGCCACTGTATCTCTCTTTTCCCTCGTATCCCTTCCATGCCTCCTATTTGTGCTTTCCCTCCTGTCCTCAACCCTCCCTCCACTCAGGACGGAGGAGGGGCAGCAGCTCACTGGTAATTTGAGCCACCAATAGCTCATAGTCCACGCACTGGCTCACCAGCTCCCGGTGGAGAGCGAGAAGCCAGTGAGCGAAGTCGGCCGCCCGGCCTTCGGTGTCCAGCTGAAGAATAGACCCTTTCGTTGTCGTCATGCCGGCAGGGGAGGCGTCGAGGAACCCCAGAAACGAGGAGGCGACTAGTGGGAGGCGCTAGGGGCTGCATGGAGCACGGACGGCGGCAGCGGCTGTGGTGGCTGTGGCCGGAGCGGCGGTCTGGCAGCTGGCGGGCAGCTGGTGGCTGGAAGGCACACGGCAGCAGGCAGCCAGCGGCCAGCAGGCAGTAGGAGCTGGCGCCAGCATCGAGCTGCAGGCAGGAGCAGCGAACGGCAGGCCTCCGGCAGCAGCAGGCTGTCGGCAGGCAGCAGCTGGTAGCCGGTGGCTGACGGTTGGCGGCTGGCGGCAGCTGGCGATAGCTGGCGGGTAGCGGCTGGCAGCTAGCTGC